CAYCACCACAGGTTTTGTGTCTGACAGCCACAGCCACTTCTTAGCTGGCAAAGAGAGATGTTATCATTTCTGTCCCCACATCCTCTTTTCAGAGCCCTGTTCTGTTGTGATGCATAGGGGTATTTCCATCCCTGACTGAGAGGGCCACAGTTGCAGAAATACTGTGTTTGATGAACCCGATGCAGAGACTTTTGCTGGCTGCTATGGTGAGTAATTATTTCCTGGAAGACAGAGAGACACCCACCACCTGGARAAACACCCTGCATGGACATGTGAAGCACAGGGCAGAACCACACAGCTCTGAGTCTTGCAGAAGTGAGTGGGGCTTTCAGCTGTTTGAGATCCAGAAGTCTGAAGTGGGACAGCCAGGATGCACTGGGGATGGAGTACTTYCAGAAGAAACCAGACTGAGAGCAACACCATCTCAGCTCAAAAGGAAAGCCTCTGGTTRCCTATGGGAATGGTGCTGAAGTTTTTTCACATAGGTTGCTATGTACATTTTGTTAACACATGTAAGACAGTAGCCTTGGAATTTAAGGTAGCCTGGATTTAGGCATGAGGCTGAACCTGTCTCCTGCCTGCCTTCCCTATGACCAGCCCCTACCAGTCTCCTTGGGGCTTCTGGCATACAGGATGATCCATGCTGCCTGCCTGCATCTAGCAGAAAATCACATCTGGATCTTGCCAAATACAAATACCTGCACCTTGCAAGGCCCTGGCCAAGAATGGGTAAGACAAGAAGGCAGAGCACTGCTGAACAGCATCAGGCCACTGTCCTGCCTGTCCTCCTCCCTTCTGGGGAGATGATTCAGTTAATACTTGGAATTCAATGGGTAAAGGGCTTCCCCCACTGTGCCAGCTATGGGAGCACATCTGTGAGGGCATCATTCATCCAATGTTACACAACAGCTTGTTGGTGGGTACAGGCTTCACAGTCACCCTCTGGGAATTCTGGCTCCCCTGGCAGAAGGGAAGGGAGCTCTGCCTTTCCATAGCTGCAGTTGATGGATCTTGGAAGGTGTGTGGCTTTTTGGCCATGATATCATGAAAGGGGCTGGCTGGAGGAGGAATGCAGTCAAATGGACAGGTGGAAATCAGTTWGCATCTGGTTTGTCTGCCTGCCTTAAGGGCCCACAACTCTGCGGTGAGCAGGATGAGCTTCAGGTTCAGAAGACAGTGTGGTCCCAGGTACCACCATTCAGCTGCATCCTGTGTCTCTGTCAGGTGGACCATAGGTTGTGCTGATTCTGTACTTGGAAAAGAGAAAGGACACTAAAATAAACGTCATCTGTCTTGTGACAGAGAAAGGCTCTTCATAAACTTGGAGCAGCTGGGGGAAGGGTAAAGTGCTGCACTTTCCGTTCTGTCCTTGGTCTTCAGCTAGGTCAAGATGAACTCTGACTTTTCCAGTTCTGTTCCTGCGCGTCCATACAATACCTGTGTATGTCTCTTGGGTAGTTTCAATGCTGCTTCCACCCCCCACATTCTTAATTTTTTWATTTAAACATGATTCAGAATTCTTCACTCAGCCAGTCTGGCCTCCTGTTGTACTTGCTCAAAACTGAGATGGATCRCTTATATACTTGATCTCCATTGGTTAATCAGAAATTCAGATGGCTGTTTTGCATCTACCTCAGCTCACTTCTACTTCTCCTCCAGGCTGAAAAAGGCTTGTTCCTTCCACTGCTCCTCATTGGACATATGCTCCAGGCCTCAGACATCTTCATGGCTTTCCTCTGAACTTATTCCAGTTCATAGAAGTTTTTCTTGCATTGCAAGGCCTAAACACAACACCACTGGTGTGATCTMATGAGTGCCAGGTAAAGGGAGCAATCCCTTCCCAGCCCCTGCCAGGTGCATGTCTATCCATGCAGCCCAGGACATCAGTGCAGCACCCAGGACACACTGCAGATGTTTGGSCTATTTATGGTCAGCTGAGCCCTCCATATCCATCCCAGCTTCAGATTTAGCTCCAATCCCAAGACTTCTTCTACCTTACACTCCTTTTTTCTGCCCCCTCCCCCCCCCACTCCATTCCAGGCTCACCTGATGGGGTCTTTGTTTGTAATGGCTCTAGGAAAGTAATAAGACAAAGAGTGAACAGATGTAATGCAGAATCCAAAGAAAGATTCAGCAGAGATGCAAACTATTTGCAAATGCTGGGAATGTGGGACAAGGCATTTAGCAATGTTGGAATAGACCAAAAGCTTCTGGAAACTGAAAACCTGGGTTTTCTATTATGAACTTGTGCAGGCAATGATGGAAGGCAAGAACCCTTGTCTTGGGGAAAAGGTGGTGTTTTGAGGGGTGTCCAGTTCTAACCTATAGGAAGGTTAAATGATGCAAAACCCAAAGAGAGTTTGCAAAGTATAGATCCATGTTTCTGCATGAATGGAAAAGATGTCCCGAAGGGAAGATAGCAATAGTCAGGGTGTGAGAAGGAAGAGTCCCATGCAGATGCTGCTGATGGGCTKGTGCTCAAACACTAGGCMGTGGAAAGCAGCAGCTGCCGCMTCCTCCTGTTCCAGGAAAGTGTTTATTTTTGGGCCACTCGTACCTGATGGTGATCACAGAGCCAGAGCAGGTAAGGGCTCTTCTTTGGCACACCCAGAGCTGAGTGAGCAGCCACCCTAAGGCAGCTCCATGCACATCGCACATCGGCAGCGGCAGGAGAGGTGACAGGAGAGGTGACAGGAGAGGTGACAGGAGAGGTGACAGGAGAGGTGACACCTCCTCCAGCCCAGCTTTGTGACCACTCATCCCGTGAGGAACCCAGAGCTTGAGGATGGGGAGGTTTTTAGCCGCCCCGTGTGATAGTACTCAGTAGCAAAGATCGTATCAAATTCGTGTTGATTTTAGAGGTGCAGATTGACAACAAATTTGGCACTCGTAGTTTTTCTTTGTTGATTTTCAGAAACATTAGGAAGCGTCTCAGAAAGGCAATTCCTTCCGCCGSCYACACAGTCACACCCTGTGGACGACYGTTCATACTCTGCCCTCCTGTGGGGAAAGACATCGGAGTCAGACCTGTGTAAGGATGAACATTGCCCGCTGCTGTGAGGGGTGACCGCCCTGACGGGGTGACCGAGCCCAGCGGGTCCGCTGCTCTGCCACCAAGAGAACCAGCCTGCAAAGACGAACTCTACAGCAGGATGAAAAGTTCTGCAATTTGTTTTAAAATCCAAAATCTTCAATTTTTTTAAATTAATACTTTCAAGTTAGTATTCTCAACTTCAACAAATTAAATATAATTGTTTTTGAAAGCAGAAAACGGCTACTTTCAGAGGTAAGAAAATCCAGAATCTTTTATTCCAACAAAATCCTTTAATCTGTTCCTTAGGATTTGTCTGTCAAACCTTATCAGATCCTCGTCAAGCGATACAAAGTTATAATTTATGGGGGAAAAGTCCGTGAGTGCGGGGTGGGCGGCCCTGCGGGGTCC